ATACTCAGGCAAGCTGATGCCGCACTACTCGGCCGCGAACGCCGCGGGTTTGCCGCGGCCGCGCCCCAAATCGTGAAGAAAGTGGGGGAGCCGAGGGCAGTCACTTGACATGCGTGAAAAGCTGGAATGTTCGAGTTCACACTAGTTCGCCGAGAAACTGCATCATGATGCCCCCCTAACTGGAATAGACCTTCAAATATTTTGCTTGTTGTGCAGGCATCCCAACACGGTACAAATCCCATGAGGGTTGTCTGTGGCGCTACTCCTTAAAAAAATGAATGAGGTTACTCTCATATTCCGCGCCAATGCGAGAAGTGCAGGGGAGGCTTGGGAGGAAATCGCGCATCGCACCACTGCCGCGATTTGGCGGGCAGAGTGACGCCATTACTATCAATGCGCTTTGCGCACTTTCGTACGTTCCATGCACTCCTCAGTGAAGCACAACTTTTTTATGACTACCCAATAGAACATGATTCCAAACCCACTTTTCGACAACATCTGAGTGAGAAAACGCTTGACCTCACGGAAGTCAACTGAAAACTTTTGACTAGTTTGTCAAGATAAGTTTCATACCGACAACATGAACGACCTATCAAGTTCCAGAAAAGCTCGCGCAATTCATCGAGAAATCATGGAGGCAACCGAAAAAGATACCACCTAAAACGTGAAAGCCACGGCAATGCGAAACATATGCTTGTAGTGCATGCAAGGTGCATGTGGCTCGCTAGGAAAGAAAGCGAATTCTTCAGCTCTTCGCAGCGCGAAACTTTTTCGCTGCGGGAACCTCAGGTCCACATCTCATCAGACATGTTTCTCCATGATCCCTTCCGCTTCCTAGGGCTTAGTCCCAAGCACAGTAATTGGCTTACTCACTTGGATGTCCCCCCCCCCAAAGACATGAGCGCCGTTGGGCAGTTTCGCAAATGGGCTAAAGATGCTGAGGCCATATTAACCATGAAGTGCTACAAAGTAGTTTTTCTTAGATAACTTCGTCGTTCTTCTGGCACGGTTCCGGCGGGAACGGCAGAACCAAACAGTCACGCGGCGGTTTTTAGAGCCGGCGAGGCTTTGCGACGGAAAGTGTGGGGAAAATGAAAATTGCTCACGTACTCTAATCCCTCCCTATCACTACTTACTGTTAGTTCGAGAACAGATCTTTGCCAAAATTCCGAGTTGTTTGAGGCAGACGGAGCGCCACGCCGCTGCGATCCACAACTCCTCTACTAGGTTTCACAATTGTTTCAAAAATCCCTACGAAGTCAGTAAAACATTCCCTAATACAACACGGCTTGTTCTACCTTTCCGATATATAAGTTCGCCGATTATGTGCATTCATTTAGTCCGTGAACATCAAATGAAGATCATTAACACGTTGACGACAGCCCCTTGTGCGTGTACCTCGGCAACTTTTTGTTTATTTTTTTCACAATCGTCATAACTTCTTCAATAATTCCACTACTGGTAATTGACTCACAGTTTTTCGGATAAGATAACGCATGCACACAGTTTTGAAATATGAAAAAGGCCAAATAAACCAAAAAAACTAGCCAGAATCGGGTGAAATTCTGACGCGCATGCGCGTCATGCTGTCGTCAACGTGTTAATCACACTCCTATGCGATATTCAGTCAAGCTGTTAAGGGCAATCTTTTGGAAATCGAGCGATTTGGAATGTCTCATCATTGTGGTGATGTTCTAATATTGACAGTAAGAAGAAAATGAGGTTCTACATCCTCCAACACAAAGATATAACTAAATAACACTCGGGATATTTACTTGTGAATAAGCCGCGATAAAACTTTGACTGCATAACAACTTTGTATGGAAATAACAACAACATTGGCAACAAAATAACGAAATAAACATCAAATTCCCAAGTTACTACTTGGAGGATTCAGGATCACCATGCAGTGGTGCCGTAAGTCAGGCAACAAACGTCATCGTGCTATTACAGAACAACATCTTCGAGAATCTTCAGGCTATGCACTTCACTTACAAGCAGAAAAGAAAACAACGATCATGGAGCTTTCATAGACGGCTATTTAGACAACCTTTTTCTTTCGGAATAGCATGATTGTCTGAAAAGTTTCTGCAAGGGCCATGTGAACACTACCCCTTCTTAGTAATAGTCCTCCCCAGCTAAACGGCCCAACCGAAGTTTAAAAGCCTGAGTTCAAACTTGAATTTCAAATTAAACGATTCATATACATTTTCGGACTGATTTCATCACTTCAATTCCATCAGATTCAGAAAATCATGAGGATCTAAACTTTATCCATCGGTTCTTCCTGCGATGATTCAGCGGCTACGTCCTGCATTTCACTGTCCTCAAAGTTAAGGTCATCCAACATTTCAGCAAGAGTAGGTGCATCGGGTATAGCCTTCGTCATCGCTATCAACAGCTTGATTTATTCGTTCTTCATCCTATAAAGATATAGATCACAAAAAATCATGTGAGACCTTGAATGAATTGCTACCTTGTAGATGTTAATCTTCTCACGCAAGGCAGGATCTTCTTCTACGTCTTCCATAAACCTGGACAAGAGTTCGCATTAAAAGGAAAAACTTTTTCTGGATATAATAAGCGATTCGTTACCTCTGGAACTCGTCTGCAACACTTTCAGTTTCATTACCAACGATGTTACCATCTACAACCAAACGTTTCAACTTCCATTTTCGATGGGCAAGTCTTCGAGCACGATCATACACCTAATACCAAATCATCGGTTTGAAAATGAGAAGCATCAAAATGCGTACACTCAAGAAGTACCTTTTTCACAATTATAACATCCGGGATATCTTCGGGCTTCATTTCGTCAAATACAGTATTGTTGACATTACAATTGCGAATATCAAACGCTAAATTGCACTTAGTCAAAAAAAAACTTAATTTAGTTTGAAAAACTAAGTCAAACTTACCCATGACCAGGTCTCCAGGATTCAACAGATGCCCCAAATGGGTGCGTGTAGAAAGCGTTTGCGCGTCAGACATTCCAACCTGAACTTTTAGGATCAGACTTAGCCTCCTTCCAAGAACAACGAGCGCACATGAGTGAGCTAACGTTCGGCGGTCACCAATATGATAGAGTAGGGTGCGCAAATGCAAGGTTCACTCGATGAAAGGATCTCTTTGGCTCTTTAGGGTAGCGAAAACGTAATGGGTGAAACTGGCAGTAGTTTTCGGAAGAGGAAATGGGGGCATGTTGGAGAACGAGGGAAGAGGACAAGCTGTCACAGCTGCTCGTGTTGCTGTTACGAAAAGGAAACACGTCATACCATATTTTATCTGCTGAAGATTTCAGGCAGATATCAAAACATGTATAAGGATAAGGATAAAGGATAAAGCATTTGCCGTTGATCAATCCCTTTTTGGGATGCGGCACGCATTCTACTTCCATTTGTACATTCGTAGTGGCGTTTGAATGCGATGTGGCCTATACAATGACTTGCGGGGGCCAGCCGATGTACAAGTCAGTGTTTTTATCCTCCCAGACAAGTCTGGTACCAATTAACCGACCCCGGGGATGGAAGGCTTGGTTGGCCCGGGCGACTCACGACCCAGGATTTGATCCCCGGACCGCTCGCGTGGTAAGCGTGCCACTTGTCACTACACCACTTCCGCCCTCAAAACAAAATGACCAAAAAAACTTCGAAGAATCAACGTAGGAACGAAACCCATAACTACCACCAGAATCTCGATGCTGTTGGTTTGAAGTGTCTTGTTTTGCTTCTTTTTGAGTTTGTCGGAAAATACAAAGTTCACATGCTTTCTTTTCCTCAACTAACAGACCCCAAACGAGATCCGAAGAGAAGATCTTCGGAAAGATTAGAAATTTTCGAGAGACTTTTAAGAACAACTCGGTACTATTGCGAGTATTATAGACCTCCTACATAATACAAGTGAAACATATTTAATAAAAGTACAATTTATTCACCTGATGACTCCTCACAAGCCACACATCCGCCAGTACATGCTTTCTTGCTGATAAAACCATGACCAGCCTTAAAAATAATCCAGAAGTTCAACAATCGCCTATCTAGACAGAATAACAGTTGAACTTACCTTCCTGTCCAAATTATCCACTCTTTCCACATCTAGTACGTAAAACTCGGACAACTGCTTAGGAGTGCAAAGCGAATCGAAGGGATCCCGCCAAAATGACGTCCTGAAGGAAAATCCATAACAATAGTACATAAAACGTCCAAAAATAAATCAGCTCACGCTTGTACATCTGCCATTTGTAGGTTACTTGGATCGATAAGAGTGATGACGTTAGATACACGTAAGCAAATCGCAATCTGACTCATATTACCCAGATGTTGAGGCAACTTTTTTAGGCATGCACACTATATTGTCCCTATAACAGACCGTTCCTTTGAAAGCACCGGTAATATCCAAAAAGATTTTGTTGAAAACGAGCGGACCTGCATATGTGAACAATTTCCACACAGAACGTGTGTTTGTAGTCATACGTGTTATTTTTCGTGTCATGTGATAACCAATTCCTGAAACGTTTTCGATTCAAAAATGGGTGTCGAAAGCTATTTCGACTTCTATGAAAAAATTAGCAGAAAATAAAGCTTGCCTGAGCATAATGGTATCTACAAGGTAACACCATCATAAGGAAATCAACGAATTTCCTAGCGTCCTGAAGTTTGGCGAAAAAGAAATCGATTCCAGTTGGAACGGGCTTCACTCCTGTGCATTGGCTGTGGGCCTAAACATCTGAACTCCGAAAATATAATGTTCTAGAGGAACAACGATCTTAGCAGCGAATCCGAGCATTCTCTAATTCAGAATCATACCGAAAAAACTCTTACACTGTGTTTGAGTAGAAGTTGTTCGAGATAGAAAAGGGTTTTCTTGAATTCGGCCTTCTGCCGAACTTGGACGCAAGCTCGCCAAAAATCTTTTGCCTCCGCTCGGCGACAATCGTCACACATCTAAAAATAATTTTCTTCGATAGCGATGTAATTGTAAATACTCCTCTGATACTTACTCCACACTTTTGGAGTCATTTATTTGGCACAGACCTGTCGTGTAGAATTAAAAAGTTAGCTTTACATAATCAGAAATACAAAAAAGAGACTAGTTATTTCAATGAAGAGTACAATGAAAAAAAAAGAAGTAACTAGAGCCAATTTTGAATTCAGGTGTTGTAAGAGGGCCACTCTCCCTCTTCACAAATAATCAGCTTTACATTGAGAAGAATAAAAGGCGCAATGTGGCTCCGCGTGGGCAGCTTGTAACATTGCGTCAGATTCACGAAAACTTCCAGTTTTGGGACTAAGCTTTGGAGAAAAAGAGGGAGTCTAAGCTGCGTAAGGCTGGTGTCAGAGTCCGCGATCCGTCGCAGGTTTCGCTGATTTTTTCGCGATTTGCGCGAAACCTGCGACGGATCGCAAAAATTGCAAGTGCCCCATTTGAACATTTGAAACACTGAATATGAAACAAGTGGAATCATGAGCAGTCGTCATTCAGCCATCACTATCAAGCAGAAGTGGCGGCAGGATTGGAGAACACCTTGCAGTATTGATCGGGCACTTGTGATTTCCGTGACGCGTGAATCGCGCAAATCGCGAAAATCAGCGAAACCTGCGACGGATCGCGGACTCTGACACCAGCCTAAGCAACTTTCATTCGCTCCGGAATTCGTCCCTCTGCGTTAGGCTTAGTGCTAATCGCCTTCCAACAGACTGCTCCCCCCCCCCCCTCGGGAGACATATTGCGCCGAATCCAGAAAACGAAATTTGTGTGACAAAAGAAAAAGAAATGGAAGGAAGAGCAGTGATGAGCATAAAACAGCATCGAAGAACAATTCCCACAATATCAAAACTAGACTTGTATGTTTCAGGGGAAAACCAAACTCACCTGGTTGTGGATGGTAAACTCGACAATAAATGTTTGTTGCAATATTGTACTTGAAAAGACCTCCTTCTGGATGGTCAGCTTTACTTTTACGCGCTTCGAATGTGGCTCCGTCCATACAAAACAGGCATCGGTCAAGCGCACCTGCAAAGAAGAATTCGTACAAAATTCACTGAGCTCAGAAGATACATTCCCTCACCTTCAATAGCTGAGGTTTTAACTTCTTAAGGCATATGGATAGAAGCTCTTTTGATTCCAACTCTGCACGCATCCATCCACTTGGGGGCACGAAATAACGATCACAGAACTTGCATATATAAATGGTTGCTAAAGTAACACAAAACTGATGTTTGAGCCTTAACAATTGGGAAAATGAGCAAAGTGAGTTGGGGTGTTTCACTAGGACAGAAAGCGACTTTTTCGCGTTTCGCAGCGCGAACATTTTTCGCTGCGGAACTCTAGGTCCACTGATCAGCGGTGGACCTGAGGTTCCCGCAGCGAAAAATGTTTCGCGCTGCGAAACGCGAAAAAGTCGCTTTCTGTCCTAGTGAACCACACCCAGTGACTGCTGAGGGTGGGAGAGGGGGGTAGGCGGCGCGGCGTCTGTTCGGCGCAATGGCACTGAGCCTGAGCCTAGAAGGAGGCTCAAATGTGCCAAAAGTCAATCATAAATCATAATATACACAGCCTAATCACTCCTTCCTAGGCTCAGGCTTAGGTCCCATCGCGCTTGAGAGACGGCGTCGCCGCGTGGTCCCCCAACTCACCTAGCACCTGAAAAAAGTAGAAAATCCCAACTGACCTGACCTACCAATCCCTTCTGTGATATCGACTTTTGAACGAATGCAGCCACTGCACATATTGGCCGCATTTGGTTGAATAGGCAAACCACACTGACAACATGCGATGAGCCCAACTGTGGTTTCCGCCCGAAACTCCTCCATGGCTAAAAATGATACACCAGGTCATATATTCAACAGCCATTTGAACACTTCAAGAGGACACGCACGGGCAAGGACGAATGGAGAAATCGAGACAAAAAAGCAGCTGAAAACACCAGTCGATATACATATGTACCCAGCAGAGAAAACTGCTTACATTTCAAGGATAGGGGCCAGGAGAAGAGCAAAGACGAAATAAATACGGTTCCGTTCTAGATACCGAGAAGAAACCGAGAGGAGTGATTTGGATCTCAGTAGGACAAGCCTCAGATATTAGAAGGATGGATTATTCTGTAGAGCGCTTTTGATTGGAGGATATTTAACCGTTGACGACTCGCGCGTTTGGGTTTGGTTGCACGGTGAGACAAGGCGCCATTGCGAGCGGCGCCGTCACCTTCACACCGTGAATATTTGAAGCGATAGCATTGGGTAGTCTCAAAGGCTTACCGTGAATTATTGTACATTTCAGCAATATTCAATGCGTAGAAAGTAATCGAAGATATAGTAGCGAAATTTCCGATCAAAAAACGTGAAATGGTAAAGAAAATTGGAATTGAAGTCCTTTTCTCTGTAGCGGATGCCAAAACTATTTTCGATGTGGATGTGTCAAGTGAAACATATATCTTTCTATCCCTTTAAGTTTGTTTACTTTCACTACTTTTTCTCACTGACATGTTCATCAGAATAGGAAGAAAACGAGGGATGAACCGAGCTGCCAATTCCGCTGTGCTTAAAAACTTCTGCTAAACTGGAGCATATTTGATCATACCGTGACCCATGTCGTTTACAGTTATGTTATGTTGTAATCCATAGAATAGAGGCAAGCAAATTGGGAAGAATCCCGCATACGCTAGAAAAAGGGATGACAAGGGTGAGACGCGCAACCGCGTCTCAATGTCCAACGAGGTGCGCAAAGTGAGACGCGTTACCGCGTCTCAATGTCGTCAATGTGTTAAAGAGGAGCCTACTCCATGGGATCAAGGAACAAGGGCCTAAGGACAGAATTCGAACGGTATCTAATGCGATAAGGGCTCAAGTGCAGTTAAGGTAGTAGAGTAGTGAGAGGGGTCGCCTTTACGGGTTATTCACAATTTTCATAAAAATGGGCACGAAACGGGGCAATTAGAAGCATTTGCCGTTCCTTAAGTCATATATACTCCTCCCTCTCTCCGCAGAAATCTCGGAAGCAATTAGGGTGGCGGTGTGGGATTGGGTTGGGTAAGGACTAAGAACTTAGAATGCGTTGACTCGTTTCAAAATCATTTATTATGTAGTAGAGAAGCAGCTATGAAAATAGCTGATAAAGAGGTGCGGTGAGAGGGTGTGGCATGGGAAGACCACAATTAAGCTGATGGTGAAGGTGGAGGGAGAACGGGTCGAGATCTCCTCAAGAAAAGGATGATGTAGTGAAGAATTTCCAATCGGCACCACGCGATGACTGATTGTGGCCCCACTTCAGCTCTCTATCGGTTACGCAATAATTTTCCAAGGACTGGTTGTAAAAGCAAAAACATCACATGGACATAATCAGAGAATACTTGGCATATATGTGGGAGGCAAGGCAATCCTTTTCGCGCGTCAAATTTGAGACGGCATATGAACCTTCATTCAATAGAATCATACCTTCCATATACCAAGTTATATCGGCAACTAGAGGATAGTGAAGATGTGTGCAGCTAAAACTTCAAGTGAAGGCGGTGCTAAGTTGCCGTTTCGTAAGTTCATAAGTTGTGGGTAGAAATCAGCTCCCGACATCAGATCCAGATCAGTGGAACTGAACTGTTATTTTCGGGAGCTAATTGGGGACAACTAAGAAGGTGTGAATATACAAATGGACTTGAAATTTCAGCCACAAAATGTGTTCGATTTTCCATTTCTGGTATTCACGAATTCTTGAAAATGATTGCTTAAACCGTAGCAAAATACCCTTATACGTGGAATGCAAAAGATCAGCCCTAGTGAATCGCATTGCTCGCACTTGCATGCCATGAATCTGCTCCATTTTGTTTCCAATAGTAGCGTAATAGCAGTTTTTCGTTTGACAAGATCAGAAAGCGAGGAGGAATCTGTAAGCCCGGATCTGATGCAGCAGGACAGAAAAGAGTATAAGAAGTATTATGAAT